CAGAATAGTGTCCCTTATTATGTTTCTCTCATGAATTTTATACTCATAGTATAGATATAACTATGAAAATTATAGGTACAGAACCTCACACGTTTCTAACAACATTCCTTGGGCGTTGCCGTTAACCTAAGCTATTACATGTTCTAACCCAGCAATCGGCATAAAAAGTAAAAGTTAAACTCGGAAACAACGGCTTCCACACCTGCTCGGCACCTTAATAAACCCGAGCTTTCCAGCCGCAAAAAGGTCTCCCTTAGGACGTGAAACAAAAAGGAAGCCAGGCAGCACCGAACATACGGTAATTGTTTCTCGAAGATACCCCAAACATATTATGATTGATGAGCCGTTCCCCATTCTCGAGGTACGCGCTATCGATAACACAGACGTATAAGGTTCAGGCTTCGCCTGTCAGACCAACGAATGGACTGCTGAATAGAAGCGGGCTTTTGTCTAATAAGCTACCATGAAATTGTTGGAGGCCGAAGTAATGGAGGTTCAAAGGATCGGCCGCTGACGGGAAATGGGATGTATGCAAAGGTTAGGTTTTGATTCAGTTTGGTCGAGAAGGTAGAGATTACAACATTTCAATGTAATCATCGAGCATTAGAACAAAAAACAACATCAATATGCTGAAAAAGAACTAGAAAAACTCATTGAGCCGTATTCATAAAAGAGAAGCATTTCCTCGGAAGCATAAGGTACAAGTACGTTATAAGGTCTTGCTTCGGAGAAAAAGGTAGAAGTATAAAACTGTCCTTGTTTTCATATTCATAATGATTATCTTATAATCGCGAGGATATCCTCCAACAAGAAGGAAAAGGTTAACTGGTATTTGTATCTTGAGCGACATGTCCTGATTTGTTCCAGCTTGTAGTTGACGTGGGAGTTCGTTCACTCAGCATCACTGACAGTTGTACTCCAGAGCTTACACAAACCGTTCCGTATTTTTACTGGATACAGTTGTTTATCAAATTAATAAGCATGTCATCCTCAAGTGATGAGGAAACTAAAGAAAATAATGGCAACGACCTGCAGTTCATCGCAGATGAAATTGCCATTGCTCCCATTATTTTACAAACGTCACAACTTCAAAAAATTAAAATGAGAAAGGACGATGCCTTGAAGAAGATGTTGAAAAAATATGAATCAACATTCGGTAAACCATTAGATACTGAAGGCTTATTAAAAAAAATCAACAACATGAAATCAAGATTGAAGAAAAAAACAGATCTAAAATAAAAACTGATAATAAAACAATTAAATTGTTAGATTGGGAAAGAAAGTTGCTGAAATCTATGGAAGGTGACTGTAATCCTACAATTGGGAAAATTAGAGGTGCCACTCAGGTTGGTAGTGTACAAGAAGAAGGAAGTGAACTATACTAAGTGACATATAAATCCGAACACCCAGTTTAAATGCTTTATTTTAATAAAATTTTGTATAAGTACTTAATGAAGCATAATAAGTAAATGATAAAAATTTCAAAATGATTGCACTGCTTTAAACTCCTTTGACCTTTAATAATGTGTAGATGCACCCTGATGTGCTACGCATTCTCCAACGCGCCTAGGCATGCTTCTGATCAGGTGGTCAATGTCCTCCTGTGGTATCTCATTCCAGGCAACCACCAACTCCTCTCGAAGTGCTTCTAGAGTCTGAGGAGGACGTTGCAAATTGAGCAATCTCCTACCCATCATATCCCACACGTGCTCAATTGGGGATAAGTCGGGAGATCTTGGTGGCCATGGTAACAATGTGACATCATTATGTTGAAAGAAGTCTATTGTGACTCTTGCAACATGTGGTCGGGCATTATCTTGTTGGAAAGTTGGATCTGCCAGGGTGTCAAGATAGGGTAAAAGATGGGGTTCTAGAACTTCGTGGATATAACGCTGCGCGTTCATGTTACCTCTGATGAAGATTAAAGTGACCTGGAATCATAAGCTATAGCACCCCAGACCATAACTCCAACAGTGTGATGAACATGTCTTTCAACAAAAAACTGTGGAGTCCTCCTTTCACCACGTCGCCTTCTAACCCTGGCACGACCATCGTGCATGCCTAAACAAAATCGAGACTCGTCACTAAAGACAATACTGTTACATTCCTGATCCCAGAGTGACCGTTGTCTGCACCACTCAAGGCGATTACGTCGGTGTTCTCGAGTTAAAGGGAGGACCCAGTGTGGCCGGTATGAAAACAAGCCAAAACTTCTCATTCGTCGGTAAACACTTCGCATGCCAATAGGTGTTCCGTGTTCTGCAAACCATTCACTTGCAATGGACCTGGTAGTGGAGAAACGGTCCCTTAAGGCCAATAATCTTAGGCGGCGATCTTCACGGTCTGTTGTTCTACGACGGCGTCCAGTGCCCTTTGCTCTTTGCGTACGGCCTTCTCGAAGCCATGCCTGACAACACCTAACCACAGTGTCTACACTTCTTTGCATTCTAACTGCAATTGCCCGAAAAGAAAGTCCAGCTTCCCGAAGTCCCACTATACGGCCCCTATCAAACTCACTAAGTTGACGAAATCGTACAGGTCTCCGTACTCTAGGCATCGTAACCGATCGTAAAGGATGTCAAGAACCAAAATCCGCCAACGTTGATTCTTTACTGCGGCTGAAATATTCATTTTTAGAGCATTAGTGAATTAAAAAAAAGCAGTATAAAAACCGGAATGTCCAACTGATAAGGCTGAAAATTTTTTCATTTGTTATTTACAGTAAGATAAATACATTCACCAACTTTTATTAAAATAAAACCATTTAAACTGGGTGTTCGGATTTATATGTCACTTAGTATATATACCGAGCGCAGTGAACACCAAAACGAAAATTAGCAACAGAGAAATACGAAACTGAGGAAACCAAAGGGTTAACTACAAAAGTACTGCAACGTCTAGTGCTATTACAGCAGTACCAAACAAGAATTTATAACAAGAGTATTATAAAACGATATTAGAAATGATGCAGCGTCAGAAGCCACCTGTAACTTATGATGACGAAAATAAAACTTATTATAACTTATAATAAATACACTTTAATCACTAAAACTATTTATTATAATACTCAAGATTCTTATTTGTTGACCTAGTTGGTGGATAGGAAATTCGTCATTCTCATGATTTCCTTCATCTTCACCTAGGTCTTGTTGAACTAACTCAAAGTCAAGATCGCCCAAGCTCTTCGCAACATTATGGAGTACAATACAAGCAATAATTATTTTCGGCACATTTTCCAACTTTACGCGGCAAACATACTGTAGCATAGGAAACCGGTGTTTCAGCTGGCCTAAACCGCGTCCAATTTTAACTATTTCTTGTTTTAAAAGCTTATTATAATTTATTTCTGCACCTGGAGTAGGATTTCTGACGGGAGACGTACGGCATGGCTCAATACCATAACCGTCATCGCCAAGTAGTTGTGCTCTAGTCTGTGAATTTCTCCATATTCTGGAATCGTGTACTGATCCAGGCCAACTGACATCAACACTTGTGAACATCTCCCTGGCATCACAAGTGGCTTGCACATTTAAAGTAGGTTTCCCTTTTCGGTTGATATACTCATCTCCATGGCGATTTGATTTCAGGATTCCTATGTGTAAGATCAATTACACCAATTGCTGTTGGAAATTTATACATGCTTTTTCGTATCAGTTCATGGTTGGTAGTTGGAAACTTGATCCAGTCGTTCGAGTGTGCAACTATGCTGTTCACAACTCTATCCACAGTCCGAGATACCGTTGCTTCACTAACACCAACTTCCTGACCAATACCTTGTTGATATCCAGGGTCGCCGAGATAGCGTAGACATATCTTCATTTAATGAATATATGAAAGTGCTCCTCCTCGAGTTTCCTCATTCTCAACTAAAAATCTGTCCGTAAGCCATTGTACATTTGCTTCGTCGGACCGACATAATTTTTTGAAGTCACAACCAATTGAACGTAAACAAGGTTTGTACGTTTTAATATCCACAATTTCCGCCATCATCGTTTGTTACCTTTCGTTACGAACTTGAGTCTGCTACTAACCACACTCAGAATTTTTGAAAGGTATGATTCCTATGCCAAGTATAAGGTGAAGATTATGAATATCCTTTTACTTATGTCACTGCCTTGAACGATATGCTTATACTCAATAAGCAAAAGCATTTACTTCAAATTATTATAAATACCATATCTGGAGGATTTCCTTCAAAATTTGCAAGTACAAGGATATCCTTTGTTTTATGAATACGGCTCATTAAATGAATTCTAAACTGTTAAATAACCAATTTATCTTCCTGTAGGTTTCCCCTTGTCGCACCCATCTCCACAAAACATCTACGCTGACCCATTTCATTTTCCCCCATGAAAAACTATCAATTTTGAAACGTTTTTTTACTGCCGTGTAAATTTCCTACGGAGAGAGTTTTTAGCAGGTTTACACTCTTAATACACTGCTTACGTTGCTTCTTCAAAATATGTTACATGTGTATATATGATTATAGATGCACACTCGCCAATAATTCAAAACGAGCCAACGTTCAATACATCAATGTATCGAATTGAATTATAAATATTCGTGTCAGTAGGTTAGCAGTTTTTCATATTAAGCTTCAATTGAATCTGAAATTATTAAATGCTAACCTAACTGAGGCTTATTATATTCCATTAAGTACTTAATTATTAAATGTTTCAGACTGTCCCTTAGCAGCGTATCCAGCATTACCTTACTGCCTAGATTGGCGTCTATGAATCTATTTTGTCTAATCATTCCGCTTTATTATCAAAATTCAATGACATATCGAAAATTAGTGTAAAAGTCTTTATTATTTTCATTGCATTTGCATTTTTTGTGAATTCTAGGTTTTACTGTACAGTGCACAATTTGCAAACCAGATACTAACAACCCAGAACAAGGTACCAAAAGTATTAAAAATCTGAATATGAGGTTATGGTGTTTTAACATGCAGTGGCAACCTATCCATTGTAATTAATTGTGATATATCTTGTTTCAGATGTAGTGGAACTACCATGTGAACCAAACGGAGAGGATTTCCAACATGGACGTTCCATGGACCTCTATCATCACCCACGTCATCATTTTTGTCTACATGCTTCAATACACGTACACTTTTAAGCAATCAGGTACGTATGCTGCTATCAGATTCATTTAATACGCGTGTATGATCTTTGATAATGATAGTCAAGACCAAGAGTTCTACTCCAGTGGCAACGGTGCTATTGGCAAAAAAGAAAAAGTAACAATTGCTGATACTCCGTTTTTGACGTTTCAGGGGTTCCTAATCATTGACATAAAGAAATTGTACTGCTTAAAAAGAGGGGGTTGAAATCAGTGAAACACGTTCTATTATTAAGAAGCTTCTGATCCAAGTGATTACGGGAAATTTAAGTAACGAAAATCCGACGAATAATGTGCTCACGATTTGAAAATATCGGTATCTGCTCTATAGGTTTGACACCAAGAGCCAACAGATCTGCAACTACCGACAGTAGGGAAGAATAAATTCGGATATCACTACAGTCAAGTATAGGGGACTTTAGCGTGGAACTTTAAAATTATGGATATGTCAAGGAAATATGTTCTTGAGGATGATAATTTGGTAGATTTTATACCTGCATTTTCATTTCAATTTCATGACCCGTGAAATGTACCCATTTCGCCGTTACCTTCAATTTGTGTTCTGCAGTTTGTGATGTTTTTCTTGATATAAGCAGGACATAATTGCCTAGGGTGCTATCAGAGCTTTTAAAAAAAAATTATTTGCGCAAGAATTATATGGTGGGTTGAAATGCTTACTATTTGTGCTCAACTTCTTGATATTTTAAAAAGATCCTAGGGGATAAAATCGAAAAAGCGGGTTGCTGGCACCCTGTGGACTTTGTGTTTAGCACGCTGCAAGAGTTGCATTTGGAAATAAAAATGAAACGTAAGCCGTGAAGTGCAAATCGGTTTTTGGGCGAAATTCATCTACTGTTTCGTCCTGCCAGTCCAAGCGTCGTGACGGTGCGCTCCGACTAAGAAAAAATGTATTCAGATAATATAAAATAAAATATAATATAATAAAATAATTATTTTGTAATCGTGTGACGAATAAAGGCCATTTATTATTATTATTATTATTATTATTATAATGTTATATCTTGCCTAAAATAAATTCAAGAACTCAAATTCAAATTCGTTTATTCATGTCAATAAACACATGGAGGTGATGCTGCCAGGAATGGATGTGTACGATCAGTAAACAAACCACAAGATTGAACTGCCGTGTCCAGTGGTTTTTGTATTGCCTTTTTTTATTACCTTACTAGAAAACTATGTTGGGTATATGATGGAGTTTACTAGAACTTTACAGCTTGTTGTCTGCCTTCTTATACAAATTCACCAAATCGAGACGCTGTCAACCTTATCCTCCGTTGAAGACGCCACAAAGTACAGTCCTGTGATTTGGTGAGATGTTTGATATGCAAAATCTCGCCGTCACTTTTTTTAAGTTTCCCTAACAATTTTCGCTGAGCAACCTCCAAATCAATGTAGTTAATGTCAGATTTTTGACTGAATTCGCCATAAAACTATTCATTTTCTTTGGAATTGCTATCCGAATTGTTAGTTATTTTTATATCAGATTTTTTTGATCTAAGTTTCTTTTCAAGATTCTTGCGTTTGAGTCTTTGTTACATCTTAGCGATAAGCCAGGTTGGACTAAGCTTAGAACGCAAATGTATTTAGACCACATAGACAGGCCGCTCGGTATTGTGGCTCACTACAGCTGCAGCACATCTTCCATGGTATAACCTCTTCTTCAATAATTTATTCGCTTACCCCAATGTATTTTGCGATTATAGAGTTGAACTGCTCCACACTATTGTTGTCCTCATCATGAATTAAACTCACTGCATTCGTAATTAAAATTGTCGCATATGACCTTTTATTGTCCATTATCAGCCTTGATAAAAAAGGCACTCAAGAACAATCACACCAACAAGAGTACAGCACAACAATTCAACAACACAATATCGACGAACAGTAACAAGGGTGGGACAATACTAAATGATCACTTGGTGAGTACCAAAATAGGAAACGGTTTACGGGCTAGATCGCTAATCGAAATCCGACCCTGTTATTATAAAAATTTACCTCGGTACGCACCCGCAGTCATCCTTTCCTCTTTTAAAGTAGCGCCGACGCCCGTCTTAGACCAGCCTACCCTCGTTTCCTTTTCACCCCCCCGTTACCTCAGCAGATGGTGTTCGTGATTGTAGGAGCCCCGTTAAAAAATCGGATTAACTTCTCTGGGATCCGCGGTGTCGTGGCATTTAGGCTTCTGCCTGCGCGGCTGCTTCGGTATTTCAAAAAAGCATTCAGTTTTCAATTGCTGATAGCGCCCCTCTTCCCAAAGGCGGAAATCTGGCTGAGAATTCATTCTGGGACCGCCAGTATGCCTCCCGTTAAAATCGTCTGACCTTCAATGTGCCTCCCTTGACTTTTGCTATATGGGCGCCCAGTTATATGGACTGCAATCGATGGATATTGACGTTGGTTGTGTGGCATGTTGCACCGTCTTGTTGGAAATAAACATCGTCCATATCCATTCCTTCAAGTTGTGGCAAAAAATAGTCATCTATCATCACGTGATATCGCTCAGAATTGACGGTAACGGCGTCTCCGGCCGCATTTTCGAAAAAGTAAGGTCCGCTGATGCCTTTTGACCACAATGCACACCACACAGTCACTTTTTGAGGATGCATCGGCTGCTCTTGATACTCACGGGGATTTTCGTTCGCCCAGATGCGGCAGTTTTGCTTGTTTACCGTCCCATTCAAAGTGAAATGCGCTTCGTCGCTGAACATGATTTTTGATGAAAAATTGGCATCAATTTGGCGGTGTTCAAGGAGCCAATCTGAGAACGTTCGGCGCGAAAAATGATCGGCCCGGCGCAGCTCTTGCGTCAATTGGATCTTGTAGGCGTGTACATTCAAATCCTTGTGGAGAATGCGGAGCAAACTGGTTCTCAAAATGCCCAATTCTTGGGATCGACGCGTTGTTGATTGTTTCGGATCGTCTCTCACACTCTCCTTCACAACAGCAATATTTTCCGGTGTGCGAACGCTCCTTGGCCGGCCAGAGCCTGGCAGATTTGCCACAGAATCTGTTGCCTCGAATTTACGCACCAGACGACAGATGGTTGTTTCGTTTGGGCGGTTGTTGCGACCGAAATGTTCACGAAGCGCGCGAAACGTGTTTTTTATTTTTGCACCATTTTTGTAGTGCTCTTGAATAACTTCAATGCGGTCTTCAATCGAATACGACTCCATAGCGATCAATGGTAAACATTCAACTAACAAAATGGCATGTCGGTGACAGAAAACAAAGATGACGTCCATGTCAAATTGACGTTTACTTTCCTGCGTCCCTATTGGATTTTATGAGAAGGAACAAAAATGCGATCTATTAATTTTTTTCTTTTATTTTCTCAGGAAACTGCTACTTTCCCGAAAGATGGGAGGGTACGTGGTTCCAATCGGGAGTTCGTCAGCCGATAGTAATCGAAGGACCAAGGCTTAGTACCAAAGGACGGTGCTTAGGATCTGAGGGAGATAAATTTTTATTAGTAGATGAGTAAGTCCGATATTTCCAAAATCTTATTATAATCACACTCATCCTTGTCGGCAGGGTTATTACGTAAAACACATGTACAATGTTAAAAAAGCCGATAAAATGTCAACTTGTTGATTAAGTTCATTCCGCGCTTGCTACAAGTGAGCATAAAGTGAACGACAGCTAGTTCCAAGTTCCAAGTTTGCGTCTTGTAGGAAACTCACATAATGTAAAAATAATCAAAAAAAAAAGACATAATGACACTTTTCAAGTTACGTAATACTCCTGCGGTACAGAATATTGCTCCAAAACAAAAACTTTTCAAAGAAAACTATTCACGAATTATTATAGGTGTCCTAACGGTTATTGCTCCTAAACAAGAAGCTTTAAATAAACTATTGATGGATTATTATACATGGTATCTGAAGACATATGTCTAAGATATTCACAAACACACAGGGTGACCCAATGTGGACGCACGTATCAACGTTGATTCTTCTTAAATGAAATGCCTTTAGTACACTTTTTATTGTACATTAGAATAGGCCCTTTCAAAAGAACAAGATTGATATAGTTGTCGAATTAATGGATACATTATACAGAGTGTTTCAGTTTAGTGTTGCATAACTTTTCGATTCGATAGAACTTTTAAAATTAATGCATAAAGTTTATATAAACATGGGTCGAAAAATGCGTGGCTTCCGAAATACAGGGTGTTTAAATTTACTTTCTAAAAAATTTTTTTTTTAATAGAGGGCGCTCTCTACTGTACCTGTAGTGTATTAAAATGACCGAAAATTTTTTCTTAGTGCAATTTTTTGCGTTTTGAATAAAAAAACTGATTCTTCGCACTTTTCAACATAAAAAAGCTCTCTTGTGAATATTTGTTATAGTTAGCCGTTTTTGAGATATTTCGATTTTTAAGGTTCGATGCATTTTTAATTATTTATGATAAAATAACGTTAAAAAGTCAGTATCTCGATAATTTTTAGAAGTAGGCTGTGCCTGCAAATATTTTTTAAATTGAAAGCAGAATAAGGTTAAACGTCAATTAGTTGACAGTTAGTTTTGTTGTCTGTTGAAACCTGAAACGTTTTTTTGCAATTGTGAATTCACGAAATTTAGTTTCTTTTACCTGTTTTTTTTTTTGTAAGTTTTATAAAAATGCCATTTTTATTCTCCAATCAAGAGTTAGCGGATATTCATTTTGAGTATGGCTTTGTAAATGGAAACGCAGCAGAAACAGCCAGAGAATACGCACGAAGATTTCCAAACAGACGACATCCAGCTCGCACAGTATTTGTAAGAGTGCATCGCCAAATAATTGAAAATGGTTTTGGAAATCTCCAAAGGGATCAAAACATAAATGTTCGTCAGCGCAGATTTACCCGTATGATTCTGCGTGAGTTTGATAGAGATCCGACCACAAGTGTTAGGAGAGTTTCTGGTGCCTTGGGAATTTCAGCAAGCCATGTTCAGCGTGTTCTTAGAAATGACCATAGACGTCCTTACCATTTGCAACCTGTGC